ATGATGACTTTTGTATTGAGTTCAGATCTGACAGAGAAATTCACAGTATTGACCAACAGAAGTTGCCTTATGTTTTAAAATATAAATGAAGGAAAATCAACAAATGATACATAATAAAGAAAAATAAAAGCACAATCGAAGTGTCGGAGAAAGAAGATTCTGCAGGAACACATTCACTCTTCTGCAACTTATCAATGATTTCTGTTAATGTTATAATATTATTACAGTTACTCTTATCACAAACATCATTTCTTGCATTAAACTAATTGCCTTTTCTTGCGCTCCGTTGCTTACACTCTGTCTGGTTTGAGGCGCATGTACTTCGGGCAGCTTGACTGATACTGTTACCCTGCTGTTGTTCACTCTGTGGCCTCTGCCATCTTTTATAAAGTATCTTGTAGTTACACATTTCTTCATGACTGTTAGTGATCTTACTGTTACTGAGGTTCTTTGTGCCACACTGCACATTTAAAGCTAATCTGTAATGAAATTATCACCCGCGTTTGTCATGTGTTTGGTACCTGTCAGGTGTTTATAACAGACCCTGCTTTCATCAGTTCATAAAACACAACAGGAATTATTTATATACTATATACAAATACTATATTATTTATTATTTATATACAAATATAATGTGAACTCAGACTCTTTGTGAGATACTGAGTAAAAGTGTTATAGTTAAATTGCAATGTTGAAATGATTTTAAGCATTTTCATTTAAGATTTTTAAGCATGTTCCTCACCACAGTCTCTCCAGTTTACAGCGTGAATTAACGAGTATGTCACACAGGATCTGCACTCCTTTGTTTTCTATTTTATTCCCACTGAGGTCCAGTTCTCTCAGGTGTGAAAGGTTTGAACACAGAGCTGAAGTCAGGATGAGACACTGTTTCTCTGTAATACTGCATCCACACAGACTGAAAACAGAAAGAGAAAAGACAATGAATCAGATCCATGTTAAGTTAATGTGAGTTAAATGCATCATAACTAAATGTCATATATCACACTAATACACCAACAGAAGCATGAAAAATATATTATAGAACTATAAACCAACTCCTAGCCAGGATTTGAGGATACTAGATTCAACCCAAGTTTAGACAATCATCACTCATTCAAAATATATGTTATAAATGTAGATCTGATTTTGTGAATTATAAATGTAGAACTGACTGAAACATTTCAATTGACTATTTTCACATTCTTAATGTGAGAAAAATCACAATCTCAATTTCAAGTCATTTTAGTGTAGTTTACTGTTCTTTCATTTTTAAATGGAATATAAGTATATTAAGTGAAGAAAGCGTAGTCAAGTTAAATGTACTGCATGCTGGTGTAGTTTGTTACTGTTGCTATTATAAATCACAAGTAGTGGGCGTCTACTTTGGGTTTCTGAAATCGTAACACCCACCGAATCAGAGTGTTTTTGACTAAGTTAAAATGAGGATAGAAAATTATAAGTTTTACAAACATTTACAAACTTCTGGGGACAAAAACATTACCAACTACATAAGCAAACCTCCAGACACATGCATTTCACAACCTTTTAGATTTAGTGAAAAGCACCATCAGTGTTATAGAAACCATTTAATTCTGTCAGAATAATCTATTGTTTTATATAATCTATAGTTTTTGTCCGCTCACTTCTGTCATATTTCAGATTTCAGCACATAAATCTTTCTGCTGACAGAAATACTGAATCATCAGTCCATTAGCTCATAGTACTTTAGAATCTTTAGAAGGGGAAACACCAGAATATTCAGAGCTGTACATTTTGTAACTTGTGCCCTGTTGTCTGAATAAATAGTAAATTTAAATCACACTGTAATTGCTGCATGGCGTAATGATACTAACTGTAGTTTTTCCAGCTTGCATTGTAAACTGCCCAACAGAACACCAAGGTTTTCAACTCCAGAGACTCCTAGTTTATTCCAGTTCAGGTTCAGTTCTCTCAGGTGTGATAGGTTTGATTTCAGAGCTGGAGTCAGGATGAGACACTGTTTCTCTGTAATACTGCATCCACACAGACTGAGGACAAGAGAAAAGACAATGTTAAGTTCACATGTGAGGCATCTTCACACTCAGACACAAAAAGTTTGTGAATTATAAATGTAGATTAATATCACTGAAAAATAACATTTAAATTAACTGTTTTCACATTGTTAATTTGAGAAAATCAAGAAAATTTTGTTAATGAGAATCACAATATTAAGTAATTTTTAGAGTCTAGTTTACCATCACAAAATACACATTTTGCTTAATAAAAACCGATTTAGTGAAAAGTACCATTAGTCCTGTAAAAACCACATAACTGTCAGAATAATCTACTGTCGTTCATGTTACATTCATTTTTAAAGTCTGTTTTTACTTCTATCTCTTTTTGCAGAAAATATCACGTGATATTTCATATGACTTCAGCATATGACAATTTTATAGCCACAAAGTTTCAAATGCTTCAAAGTTTGTTTGTTTTTTCTACTGACACACATATTACTGAATCATCAGTCCATTAGCTCATAATATAATATACTTTAATCACACTGTAACTGCTGTACAGTATAATATTACTAACACTAGTTTCTCCAGCTTGCATTGTGAGTTCATCAGTAGATCACAGAGGTTTTCCACTCTCGATTGTCCTATTTCATTCCCACTGAGGTCCAGCTCTCTCAGGTGTGATGGGTTTGATTTCAGAGCTGAAGTCAGAGCTGAACAATCATCAGCTTTTATATCACAAGACCTTAACCTGCATTCAGAGAAATGAGAAAAATATATATATTTTTTCATTCTGTTTCATTAAAACACCAACACACTACATTGTTTGATGTATGTGAATGTTCCTCACCTCAATCTCTCCAGTTTACAGCATGGATCCTTCAGTATATCATAAAATGTATTCACTCTTGAGTGTTTAAGTACATTCTCACTGAGGTCCAGTTCTCTCAGGTGTGATGGGTTTGATTTCAGAGCTGAAGTCAGGGAGACACACTGCTTCTCTTTAATACTGCATTTACACAGACTGAAGACAGAAAGAGAAAGGTCAAAGGTTCAGATCCTTGATGGCGTCTTATAAAAGAGCAACAGTAGGCATTTAGTCCTCCATATAGTCTTTAGTTGCCATAGTTTAACAGTTTTTAATTGTTTTTAAGTTCCAAATGCCAGAAGCTGTTGTTTTATCAATCTTTTTTTTTTTAAACTAGAGACATACATTTCTTTCTTTTTTTTTGGTCTCTTGTTCATTGTTGCAGCAAATGTGAATCTCATAATATTTCTGCAGAACATGTACACAACCAGTACAGTTTATCAAATACTTTACATTAAATCCAATTATTTCCTAGTTAAGACACCCAGGGGCGTAGGCAGCGGACGGGCCTGACGGGCCTGACGGGCATGGGCTCTGATGACAGTTTATTATACAAATATAATATTCGTTAAATAATTATTGTTTCATCTATTTTAACACAATTAGAGAACTATGATAACATCTCAAATAACTAAAACAAATAAAATGTGTTTTTGCATAATTCTTGATAAGTTTGACTAACAGCAGTGTTAGCCAGTTGTTATCCAGGCTGTTTCGGGCATGTCGCGCATGTAAATTCGTGCGTGTTCAGCCATTCAGTTGGACTGTAATTTGCAGCTGTGTGTTAGAAAATGTTAGAAAAACAGCTGCAATGCATAATTCTGTAAAAAAAGACTTTCAAAAATTCGTACTGACAAGGGAGAAAGCCCGTCCAGCAGTCCGCAAGTAACGGTAAGACTTTCAGTTCCACGCGTGAAGCGGTTCACTCTGTGAAGCCGGGAACACACTACTGTCAGGCCGATTATGAATGTCATTTGAGCTCAGTCAGTGTTTTCAGTCGGTGTTCAAAGTCATTTGGTGTGGTGTCTAAAGAATTTAAGACCAGCTGTTGCCAGTCGTCCTCACAAAGATTAACCTATTTTTTTTTATAGGCCTATAGAGACATAGCGACATAATCTGAAAACCACGCCCACCGGGGGGGAAAACAATCCAACGCTTTCCATTGACTTTCTATTGCGGGAAGCTGCCTCCTTGTCATTTCTGACTTATAACAAAAAGCAGAGCAATGCCTAAAAGCTGCTATGTGACAAGGTATACAGTAAACAAGCTAAAAAACCCAGAACTACGTTTTTATAAGCTGTCGACCCAAAAAACGAGCGTTTAGGACACAAAAGTAGAGCGCAACGTGTCATATTACTCTGAGAACTGTGCCCACTGGGGCGAAACGTAATCGGCAACAAGACCATTCATTATTTTTAACCATGTCAAAGGATTATTTCACCACCCTATGCGAATCTGAGAGGAGGAGATATATTAAGAAACTAAATTTTATTGGTCTATGTCAGTGCCCCTTTTCCTAACCTTCCTTTTGTTTGAGAAATGATCCAACTGAACGGCCCAACGTGAAATACCCCGACATCTACAACTATTTGTGTCCTAAACGCTTGATTTTTGGGGGGTCGACAGCTTATAAAAACGTAGTTCTAGGTTTTTTAGCTTGTTTGCTGTACACCTGGTCACATAGCAGCTTTTAGGCATTGCTCTGTTTTTTGTTATAAGTCAGAGAAGACAAGGAGGCAGCTTCCCGCAATAGAAAGTGATTGGAGAGCATTGGATTGTTTTCCCCCCCGGTGGGCGTGGCCTTAATGCACTCTGTCTCTATAGGCCTTTATCACACTTCCGCGTTTGAAAAGCAGAAGATTCAAACAGTAGTGTAAAAGAACTACACAAACAACATATCACATTAATAAGCATTAGAATTAACCAAAGCTTAAAACATTAATTATGACTAAAGGCTGTATTATAGAAGGATTAAATTAAAGGTTTAGGGCAAACTTGTTGTATTAAACATAATGCTCACATTTTTTTACACGCGCTGACTTTATTATGCAATCTCAATTGCATCAAATTGAAGTTGTTAAAATAAAGAAATATTTCCAGACCATAGACGATAATTAAAAATTATAATGCAAAAAATAAACAAAATAATATTAAAAATTAAATTAAATCAGTCCGAGAATTCCTCTGGCAGTTATTTGAGCTGCGTGCTCTTCGTTAATCTGACTGGCAACACTGGCAGCGTTGACAGTAGCGTTGCTCAGATAGGCTAATGTTACACATTAAAATGAAGGATGACATGATACATGGTATGGAATCGGTATAAATACGCAGTTTTAACATTGACGTTTATTGCGTCAATGTTCAACTAAACTAAATTAGTTTACTATCCTTCACAATACTGGTGTCTGTCCATTGACAATAAAGCAGGCGGAAATTCCTTTACGCTACTAATCGGAGTCGGATGTGACGACACACGGACTGTGATAAAGGCCGGCAATTAACTGCACGTGTTTCCTAATTTGTAGGCCTATTAACTTAAATAACGAATTGACAAATAACAAACATGACATTTCTGAATAAAATAATTTTATACACTTTAGTTAGGCAGTTTCAATTAATGTAGGCCTGTTACATTCTTCTGATTATTAGGCCTATTAATATTATTAATCTACTTTTATTATTAAATTAATATTACAATTAATTTGCCCCGCAATAATTTCATAGCGCATCACCGCATAACTGACACGCTGCAAGGATAATAAAGATTAGGCTAGCTTACTCCTCATTGAAAATGTTTTTAAAAAAGGTCTTTCAAAACGGGTTTATTAATACGTTTCTTCTCTTTATTTATTTTTTTCCCCCCACTAGCCTATGTTCGGGCCACAAGAGAAACATTAAGGGAGTAAATTAAAACATTTAGCTCTATACCGTTATCAGCATATGAAGTAGATTCATCTCTCGTCGTCTCTGAGAGAATATGCGCCGTTAATGCAGCGTCAGATGCTGAAAGCGCCGTCAGTTTTTACTTTCACTTTCTAGTGAATCGACTGCGATTAAGAGGTTCACTGCATAACTCTTGCACAAAGTTTACACGTTGCTTGTGTGATATCCATTGGCTCGCCTTCCTAGTTTAAAACAAATATTTACCCTTGAGTTTGCTGGGTTGCGGATTTACGCTACGCCACTGGACTCCGTCCGTTAGTTAGCCTAGTGCCCGCCCAAAAATAAAATTCTGGCTACGCCACTGGAGACACCTATTATTAAGTGTGACCAATAGAGAAATACAGTTGCAGTACAGATGCAGTGCTACAGTTTAAATACTGTAAACTGGACCTTTTTAACTTATCAGTGATTTTTAATCTCTCTGTAACTGCTGTACAGTATAATGATACTAACGCTAGTATTTCCAGCTTGCATTGTGGATTCATCAGTAGATCACCGAGGTTTTCAAACCCAGCGTCTCCTAGTTCATTCATACTCAGGTTCAGCTCTCTCAGGTGTGATGGGTTTGATTTCAGAGCTGAAGTCAGAGCAGAACAACCTTTATCTGTCATATCACAGCCTCTTAACCTATATTGGGGAAAAGAGAAAAGCAGAAAATAAAACATTCTGTAAAGACATAGAAAGAGAGATCATCTTGACTTCACCAGATCACAAAATACTCAGGCTCTTTACAATATACAGACTATAAAGTGTCTTTGTTTAAAAACTGTTGAAGTGATTTGAATCATTTTGATTCTTGTATGTGAATGTTACTGACCTCAATCTCTCCAGTTTACAGCGTACATCCTTCAGTGTTTCAGATACATGCTTCACTCCTTTGTTTTCTAGTTTATTTCCACTCAGGTCCAGTTCTCTCAGGTGTGAAAGGTTTGAACACAGAGCTGAAGTCAGGATGAGACACTGTTTCTCTGTAATACTGCACTCACTCAGGTCCAGCTCTCTCAGGTGTGAAAGGTTTGAACACAGAGCTGAAGTCAGGATG